TGATCACATCCTTTTCCTTTTTGCCTGTGGAATGGATGGAATAAGGCAATTTCATGATAAAATTTTCAAGGGAAACCCCAATAATTTTTTTGTAAAATGGAAGTGCACAATTTGGAAATGAGAGGAGAAAGTATTAACTTCCATGTGCTAAAGAAGAGCAGTAATGAATCCTGCTAGCTCATTACTATAGGTACTCAGTTCACTTTTGTTCCTGCCTCCCACAGTTAATCAATTTTCACTCATCCTTCAGCAACTTGTCTGCTGTGGTTTTTGCCTCCCTTACAAAAATAATTTCTTTTTTTCATCTTTAGCCAGTTTTTAGTCCTGTTCCTGTTTTTCATTACACTTTCTTTCCAGTCCTTAATACTCAGTATCTCAGTGTCTATCTTACTCCCTCTTTTTCCTTCCCTCATATCTCATTATTCCTGTTCGTACTGTGTCTACATACTTGAACAGCAACATTCAACTATCTAATTTCTAACTTCTTTCCTTCCTCCAGCACCCATTCACCTCAAACTACTACCTAATTCCCTGACATACTTATCTTAGGATTGCAGTCCTAATTGGTGCATTTTTGTACCCGGTGTGTCCTGGTAGAATAAACTGAGCAAGTAAAATGAATTTGGAGAAAATAGCAAAATTCTATTTATAAGGAATCCCACAGGAGCATAAAAAACAATAACTCTTTTCAGCTTGTAAAAATCCCTCCTGGTAGAATGTTTCTGTGCTGCCTTCAGCCTCAGCCCTGTCTGTCTTACGTATGGTTCATAGAGCGTCCAAATACCGTTTCAGAAGCCTTACAGGCACTTGCACAGACCAGAGTACGTTGCACAATTTTTGGTCTTGTTTATCCTGAGATTGAGAGACATTGCCTTAGTATCTCAAAAATATGTATCTAGAGACAGAGTCAAGAGATATCAGAATAATGGAGACTACTGTAACAGCTGTTATTCAGCACTTTCCCCTTACAGATTGAATTTGTTAAAATAATAGTTGTCTCTGGTTTAACGGCCGATCATTCCTATATGAATTTCAGGCATATTTTGGTGGCGAAGCTCGTTGTGATGCTGAGGCTGGGCAAGGAGATGACTATGATCCAAGAGAGCTTATTTGTGGTGCATGCTCTGATGTTTCAAGGGCTCAGGTAAGTAAAGAACTTGTATTTGTGGTTTTATTTCATTCTGAAGCTCCAAGTACCTGAGCTGCACAATAATTCAGTCATTTGTAATTATATGCACTGTAGAATATTGTATCATATTAATATATATAACACAATGTAGAAACGCGTTGTTCGGATTGTTACAGTGTGGGTACTTCATTTATTGGTGTTTGTTTTCTTTTGTTTAGATGTGTCCCAAACATGGTACAGATTTCTTAGAGTACAAATGCCGCTACTGCTGTTCAGTTGCTGTTTTTTTCTGTTTTGGAACAACGCATTTTTGTAATGCTTGCCATGATGATTTCCAAAGAATGACAAGCATCCCTAAAGAAGAGCTCCCACACTGTCCTGCAGGTAGTATTTTTATAAAGCAAATTTACCGCACTGAATTCTGAGATAAGGAATTAGTTCAAACTGATATTCTTATCTTTTCTTGCTGATAATGTTTAGGGAAACCACAGGGTCAGTCATACAAATGTTAAATTCAGTATATTGAATGATATTAGAATGGGTCTGTTCTATGTGTGCTTTTGGGTTTTTTTTTCTGTTTTCCAGCAATATCATCATGCTGATCCTTTAAATGTTAGATGCTTTAATACAGAAAGACATTTCAATTTACCTACACTGATTCAGACTCCAGATGTGTAATGATGTGTTAAAATTATATTGAAAAAATTAACACACTACTATGAAATGATATATCTGTACCTTGGTACCTGTCACGTGCAAACTGTTGCCCCAATGCCTTTGTTTGTAACTTCATGTGCCATTGATTTGATCTCAAGAAATCATATCATTTACCCTGCTGTTGGAAAAAAAAGTGAGATCTTTTTGACTAAGATATTTACATGAAAGAAGCAAAAAAAAATATTACAATTCCTCCTATAACCTTAGAATTATTGTTTACTGCGGAGTGTAACTCCTGTATTTATTGATTTTGCTTTTACATTGTGCAAATTCCTTCCATGGTATTAATGAGATGAAACTTATTTTAGTGATATGTCCCTATAAGCTTTTCGCCTTTTTTACTTAGAATTTGATTTATTTTAAATTACATGGCAGTTTGATCACTTTTTTTTGTCTTCAAATACCAATTCCACACTTGACATAACTGTTATAAGGAGCTAACAGGTTTTGATCATGTTATGCCAGATCTGACATTTTTTTCTCTTGGCCTCTTAAGCCTTTAGACTCCTTGCTTGAATTTGTGTGAAAGCACCTTTCCATCTGCTGTTTCTTAAGCCTTCATTTTTGATGCCTTATAAATCCATATTATAGATGTTTTACCTTCACTTAGCATGTTTTTTGAGGAAATGTATTATACGGGGTTTTTTACGTCATCTGCAAGCATTAATCTTTTTCTTTTCTTTCTTTTTCCCCCCCTCACCCTTAAATTCACTGCAGGTCCCAAAGGTAAACAACTTGAAGGAACAGAATGTCCACTTCATGTTGTCCATCCACCCACTGGTGAAGAATTTGCTCTGGGTTGTGGCGTTTGCAGAAATGCTCACACTTTTTAGACTAGATTTTTTTTTTAACCAGAGCAAAACAGGTGCCCTCATCCCTTAAGTGTCCTGAAAATAAAGTCCAGCTGGGATGAGGACGGGACCATTTCATAACCCAGGTAAAAGGAACAATTTACAGTGCAAGAAGGATGCCAAATACCATGTACATAATTCTTGCTGTGAGATATTGACATTTTTTGAACTGAGACATCAAAACTTGTGAGGTGTTTGCATGTGGCCATTACCGTCATCGGCTAGGAAACATTGGACATTTACAAATAAATAATTGCTATTAAAGGATCTGTGTGTCTGTGGACTATGAATGATGCTGGCTTTCAGGAGAAAGAAAAAAGAATATTGATTATTGTATACTGACTTTTTGTAATCTTGTACAATTGTAACGCATCACAAGTGGGGATGGGAAAGAGGAATATTCTGGTTTATTTCCTAGACTGTTATAAAAAAAAAAAAATTGTGTTAGGAAGGCATAAATGTAACAAGTATCACACTGTATATAAAGGTATCAATGTTTGTCCTGTATAAGAATTATTAAATTACAACAGCAGTTTCATTTAAACTTCTGGGTTATGTTTGAGCCTGAAATTTTAATGAAGTGCAATACTGAGTGTGCCTCATATCTTGCAGCTGTAAACATAATGGAATGTACATGTCAATAAAGCCACTGTACATTTTTATACAGTGAAAGTCTAATGAATGTGTAAGCCTCCATTTTCAGAAATTGTTTTAAAACGGGTCAGGGGGTTGTTGGTTCTTATAATTATTTCAGCAGGTTCTTTTAAAAAGTGGGAAACTGGTGGTTACAGAAGTACTTAAAATATGAAAAATGCTGCTCAAATCTTCTTTAAAGGAAAAGTTGGGTCAATGTACTAGCATTCATACGAAATACCGTATTTCTATTTCAATTTCAAAAATGTTTTAAAACACAAAAGACAACTTTTTTTTTAAATCAGTTATTAAGAATATTCAGTAAAATATCACCCCCACTGTTAGGACAGATAGTCTTCTGCCATGAATCCCATATAACAGAGTCCCAAGTCCTCTGCTCCTCTATAGTGAAGGCAAAATATAACTTAAAGTAAGGACTTCTTCCTGTAAGGTTCTCTCTTTGGATTTTCTCTGTTAGCTAAGTTCAACTCCTTTTCTAGTATTTCTGTCTTGAGGTCAATGAAATGTGCTTTACTGGTGGACATGAACAACTGCTCTCACAGTCAAGATACTGGTAGATGGCATCCAGATATGTCAGAGTACTTTGATCAGCCTTGCAACCAGGGGATCCATCTCACCTGACTTCATATACATACATACATAATGTGTATGTCTGTCTCCCCTATAGAACAGCTGGGGGAAAACACACACCTCTGAAGTACAGTTTATCTTATTCACAGCGGCAATGTATTGTGGGTCAGTCTCGGGTATGGGAATATTAGTGCAAGAAGTATCAGAGTAAATAGAAACTGGATGTTTTAACTATACAATCAAATGTATTTTATATAATTGGTATAATCGTTAATGAAAGAATTCATGTAACCCTCATATTGACATGAGAGAGGGTATAGCTGGCTCAGTAATGACCAGAGGTGGGAGAGATTGCAGGTTTAGAGACAAACGTTGCCAGACGTAAGGCTTGCAAAGAAATACACCTAACAGTTGTCCAAACAACTGAACCTGTGAGGAATTTCAACTCATGGGTATCTATTTGGAAAGAGACACATCAGGAGATAGGCTGCTTGGTAAGTTCTTGGAATATGTTTGAAATAAATATGGTATATGAAGTATAGTATCAAATGCAGCATAACCAGCTGGTCAAGAGAGGTGATTATCCTGCTCTACTCAGTGTTGGTGTGGCCTCACCTGGAGTAGGTGAATTCAAGAAGGATGTGAAGGTCCTTGAATGCATCCAGAGGACAACAAAGCTGGTGAGAGGGCTGGAAGGCATGTCCTGTGAGGAATGGCTGAGGACTTGGGCTGCTCTAGTTTGGAGAAAAGGAGGCTGAGGAGTGACCTCATTGCTCTCTACAGCTTCCTGAGGAGGGGACGTGGAGAGGGAGGTGCTGAGCTCTTTTCCCTGGGATCCGGTGAAAGGATGTGTGGGAACGGTCCAAAGCTGTGTCAGGGGAGGTTCAGACTAAATACTAGGAACCGTTTCTTTTCTGAGAGGGAACACTGGAACAGGCTTCCTAGCCAGGTCATCAATGCCCCAAGCCTGTCAGTGTTTAAGAGGTGTTTGGACAGTGCCCTTAATAACATGCTTTAACTTTTGGTCAGCCCTGAAGTGGTCAGGCAGTTGGACTAGGTGATCATTGTAGGTCCCTTCCAAATAGCAGCTAAAAGGTGGCTTTACTAGATTTGGTTATGACTGAAAGGCAGGTTAGATGACAACAACCATGATGCGATAACATTCATGATTTTGAAAGGAAAGAAGACAAGAAACTCTGTTCAGTAAATTGGCAGACGTCTGAGGTAAGATCCTGTGGGAATCAAGGGTAAAGAAAAGCTTACTTAGGAAAGTTAATGTTTTCTTTAAAACAACCAACTATACTAAGACCACAGCCAGCAGCTATCCTAGTGCAAAGGATATAACTTGTACTAAGCAGTTAGCTTCGCCAAGATTTTTTTTTTTTTTAAAAAAAAAGAAACCAGATCAAATTACTACAGATAATAGCAGGAGGGGGAAGGTACAATATAAAACTTAATTTGCAATGGACATAAAGAATAAGAAGCAGACAAGCGAAAGATTGGTCCTGTCCCTGCAACAATGAGGTACTTCATTCCACAAAACATTGACCAACAGTTTCAAATCACATCAGACTCCCTATGTGAACGTAAGGAGGAAGCCACTGTGGTGTTTTTATTCAGCATCTTGAACAGCCAAGATTGTTCATACTTCACTTATAGAAACAGACTCACTTGTCCAAATGATGTCCATACTGTAGATTTTTACCTCGGATGCAGTCATCTTCAGTGCAGAGGGGCAGGCACTTCTGGGATGAGGTTTATTTCATCTCGATATAGAACACGTGCCACCTGAATAGCTCAGATGTAGGTGACAACAATGTGCATTTTTAAGGTTTGGGAAAGTCATCACAATCTACTCTGCAGTCTGAAGTAGAGATAGTGTTTTGGAACCAGGACACCACAGCCTTCAACAACCAGGGAGATTGTTTGTTTGTTTGTTTGTTTGTTTTGAGAGGATGTCAAGATAGAAGAGTGTGAAAGGGCAAGGCTTGAAGTGTTTCTCCATGTTCCTTGGTTCATAGTTTGTTTTTTTTTCATGAAGAGATCACCAGCCTTTCCTCTGGCCTAGCTTTCTGCACATTCTGACAGGTGAAGGGTAGACACTGTGGCCTGAGCTTTGCAGTTCGCTTTTTAACGTTGCCAGATACCTCCTGGGGACCTACTATCAACCTTAAAAAGATGAAGTGTCTTTATTTGAAAATGTAAGTTCCTTACTCAATACTTGACGATCCTGTATCTACAACCTCTGAACTCCTATTGGACACACCCTGGGTCACTTCAGAATGGTAAATGTAGAGTAAAAGATGCAGAATGATGTTCTAAGGACTCTTCTGCTCATACAAGAAATGTGCTGTGGGGTTATCACAACTAATATACCTATTAGTTGAGAGGTACTGCAGCAAATTTAGATTATAGCAGTGGTATTAAACCAGTGGTTAGAGTACAACAGGGTGTACCCAGGACAGAAGCTGGAAGAAAGCAGATTGCAGTATATTAAAGATCTCCCTATCACACTACTCAGACACATCTCCTTCACAACCCAGCCCCCTCCTCACTCCCTACTCCTCATCTACCCTCAAAGACTCATGTTGCTGACACCCTGCTCTTCACGAGGACTATCAGGTGCTATTTCTGCCCTAATCCACCACAGACAAGCCCTTTTCCTCCTTCCATTGCTTTCTGGCTACTGTTTCTCCATTTTTAGGAGCCTCTTCCTGCACCCCAGGGTGCAGGAGCAGAGCTGCCGTGTGGAGGGGCAGCAGGAGGAGCAGCGCCTGGATCTGGCTGGGTACCACTGCTCTTCCTGGCTGACCACACGCAGCAGAACCTGGAGCTGCCAAATCCAGCGTACAGTCTATGCGGTACCATTTTAAAGGCAATATAAAATGTTACAAGAAGGGAGAAAACTTTTTTCCTGTGTTAAGTATACAAAGTATACACTTATTTTAAGTGTTCATAATACACTTAAAGGTGTCAACCAGTTCATAAAAGGTATGGCTGCATTCACACCAGGGATTTCAGCGCTTCCATGTTCCAAGGTCGTGGATTAGATGTCTGCAATAGAAACTTAATTCACAGGGCATTTAGTTTAGAGAAGTCATCTTTCTAATTGAAAACTGACTTGATGAGGAATCATTAAAAGAAAATACAAAAAGAAAACTTTGGCCCAAAAAGGATATTGAACAAAGACAAATTAACTACAGCGGAAGATTAATGCACAGAATTTGAAGTGGTTTATATCTTTATGCATAGGTTCTTGACATAGATCCCTGTGGGTCTTAAATTCTGGAAAAATTACTTACAGAGAGCAGACACATCTGAGGTGTCTAACCCACTATCATTTTTAGAAAACTTCTGAGTGTAGCACCATAGTAACAAATTCTAATTTTTAATTTTCCAGCCTTCTCTTTCATTTTAGATTAATTTAGTGTTAATTTAGGAAATTGAGATTACTGTGGGGAAAGGATGTGACAGTGCTACGTTCCATGTATGAAGTGGACGGAGTGAGGGATAAGGCAGTGCCAGGCAAAAGTTTACCATCCCCGATTACTACTCCGAGGAGATGGTACGGACGAGCATTGACCATCAGGCTCCGGGGGTAGAGCTCAGCTCCCACACATAATGGTTGCACCTCAAACACTCTGATCCTACACTGTGTCAGACATTCACGTCACCACATCTCCCCCCAGACCGATCTCTGCCGCTGATTATAGCCAGATGCCAGCACAGGCCACTAATCAGATCAGCCCACAATAAGATTGCTGTATGCCTTTCCAGCAGTCTCACGTGCTTTTCTGTCAGCTGTAGATCCACAGCCCACGCAATGGAAATACTCAGTTCTTGATTGCACCACCCTGTTCGCCACAGCTCACCACACTCAACTAATTCATACCAAACTCAGCTCCTGGCCAAGGCGAGGCCACGCTACTCCCACTCAGATTGTACATCATTAGTTTACAAATAGGTTGAACTCTCACAGGTGTATCCACCCACTGAGCACAAAATGAACAGTAAAAGTTAATAAGGCACAGACAATTAACTAGTCACCATCAGGACCTGATAATCTTGGTCCTTACAAAATGGTTTTCGTTAATCACATTAAACTAAGTTTGTGGTTTCACCTACGCAGAAGCTAGATAGGGAGCTTCAGGACCACCCAGTCATTTGGGGTATAACTAACTCAAGCATTGTAGGTTTTTTGCCGCAGACCCCTCCTTAACCCATGCAGGTGTTGCAGGTGACTGAGGTGACTGAGTGATGACCCCTTGGCCCGAGGCAAGCTGGAAGGGCTGCGTTCACTACTGGGGTCCAGTAGTGATGAACTTACGCTACCAAGAGTTCCAGATGGCAGGATCTTCACCACGTACACCTACATAGAGGCAACCAAATACAGAACAACAAACTGATTGCAATCAATAGCAGAGCAATGAGGTGTAACAGGGCATCAC